ATCTATATATATATATATACATACATACAAACATATATATATATATTTATATTTATTTATTTATTTTTTTATTTATATATGTATTAAATTTCATTTAAATGACAATTTTAATTTAAATAATTACATTTAAATATCGCCCCTACTCTTAACTTTCTAAGGTTGTGTGACCACGGGCTGTCAAATCAGATCGTTGTTTGCGAATAGTTTGTGTTTCGACTCGCTAAGCAAACTGGTCGAACACGGACAAATTTTTTGCGCACAATATAAAAACAAACCGAACATGAACATGAGTATTTTAAAAGATCAGAACACGAGCAGAGCATGTGCTCGCACTAGCTCAACTCATTTACACCCGTAGGTTGGTCTCAAAGGCTAAGTACTAAAAAGCAACTTATTATGCTTTTTAATGATCAATTCAAAAGCTATCCAAAATATGCAAGTTGCAAAAGGGCAACCATTTTTTGTAAATTTAAACTTCAATGCATATTCTCTTCAAAAAACTAATTGTTTCGCCCCCTTCGAACTAGTATCTATCATAAAATCAGAAGTTGCATATACCATTTTTGAAGAATATGAGTCAACATCGACCTTAGACATTTGTGAGTATAATTGAGTTAGAGGATTCTTCTACATGTTCTTAGAATGTCCCCATGATCAACATCCATTATATTGGTGGAATTGCGCATTTTTTTAGTATAATTATTAATAATTTTTTTTTCTTGAGGCTACCTCTAAGCCTTCGTGTGTTAGAAAAACTACTTTGAAGATCATAAAAAATATAGTCCATAGACTCTTCCTTGAAAATCGAAAAGTGTTTTCCTTAGAAAAAGATATTCAAAATAGATGGGCGAGTTATTTTGACAAATGTTTTATTGAAGTTTCAAAAAATATGATTGACCTTGATGATTTTAATATCGTTAATAATAATAAAGTGTTTCATTTTTACTGTCGCATTAGTAAAAAGGAAGTTGAGGAGGTTTTAAAAAGAACTAAGGGTGGAAAGGTTGCAGGACCTGATAATATCCCAGTGGAAGTGTGGAAACATTAAGAGATTTGGGAGTTTCTTGGCTTACTAAACTCTTTAATATTATTTTAAAAGCTAAAAAGATGTCTAAGGAGTGTAAGAAGAGTATTTTGGTCCCCATTTTTAAGAATAAAGGGGATGCACATGAGTGTGCAAATTATAGAGGAATTAAGCTGATGTGACATACTTTAAAACTATAGAAGAGGGTAACTGAATATAGGTTAAGACATATTACAAAGATTTCTCACAATCAATTTGGATTTATATCGCGCAAGTTTACTATGGAAGCTATGACGAAGAAGTTCAGAGATAATAAGGAGGATCTACATATGATTTTTATTTATTTATAAAATACTTACGATAAGGTTCCAAGAGATATCATTTGGAGAGTTCTTAAGATGAAAGGTGTTGATATGACTTATATCAATGTCATAAAAGATATGTATATAAGAGCTGTTACTTGTGTTCAAATAGAAGGATGATTGACCATTTTTTCCTATTTATGTTGGTTTACATCAGGGATCAGCTTTAAGCCCATATATTTTTGTTTTAGTCATGGAGGGTCTTGCTAGACACTTACAGGAGGATGTACCTTAGTGTATGCTTTTTGATGATGATATCCTTCTCGTGGATAAGACAAGAGAAAAGCTCAGGAAAAACTTGAACTATGGAGGTCTACCTTAGAGTTTAAAGGCCTTCATTTGAGTGGAGCAAAAACTGAATACATGGAATGTAATTTTAGTAGTAGTAGCTCTAGTGACAGAAATGTAACTATGGGTGATCAAATTATTAAAAGGTGTGAACACTTTAAATATCTCTGGTCTATTGTTCAAAGTGATGGTGATATTGATGGGGATGTTATTAGTAAGATTCAAGTAGGTTGGTTGAAGTGGAGGAATGCTTCAGGCCTATTGTGTGATAGAAAAGTACCGCTTAAACTGAAAGGAAAAAAATTATAAAATGGTTGTGAGACCTGCAATGCTTTATGAAGTTGAATGTTGGCTTTTAAAAGAGAAGTATAAAACTAAGTTAAGTGTTGTTAAGATGAGAATAATTAGGTGGATGAGTGGATTTACACTTAGAGACAAAATGCTAAATGAATATATTCGTGATAGGGTTGGTGTAGCTTCGATGATGGACAAAATTAGAGAGAGTCGTCTTAAATTGTTTGATCACATTAAACGCCAACCATCTGATGATCTGATTAGAAGAGTAGATGTCTTAGATTCGAATTATGTTAAGAAAGATAGAGGTAGACCTAAGAAGACTTGGGCATATTGTATAAAAAATGATCTTAAGTTATTAGATTTAAATGAAAATATGACACTAAAGAGGACGCAACGGAAAAAAGTATTCATGTAGCCTACCCCACTTAGCGGGATAAAGGTTTTGTTGTTGTTGTTGTTAACTCGTCATTGAAACATTGAAATTATACTATCGTAAACCATGTGACATAATAGACACTATTTGATGTTGTTAAAGCAAAAACATTGATGCATGAAAGCATGTCACTTACTAATATCTGCAACTAGGGTTGCAAAAATTGACTCGACACGAGGGTTCGACTTGGCCCGAATATATTTCTTATCAGGTTTGGGTAAATAATCTTAACCTATTTAACTATTTCAGTTTGGATTGGGTTGACCCGCCAACCCAAAATTGACTTGTTAATTGAAATTGATTTGAAATTGACTTGCCAAATTGAAATTGACTAAAGTTGGACTCAGAATCGACCTGAATTTAACTCAAAATCGACATGAAGGGTCATTATGCCTTATGTTAAATGGGTTATATAGGTCAGCAGCTTGAAGGTGGGTCGGGTATGGAATCGAC